GAGAAAAAAATTACGCTCGACAACAAAAAAAATTATATAATATAGTGCTGATCCGAATGGGACGATCCACGACTGCGTATTATCGTTGTTGTTATTATTATGCAAGTGTGACCAAACAACATACTAGATGGCCTATCTGAATCGAACGTCGCCATCTTTGAAACATGTGGCCTGCGATGCTGCAAGTATAGACAGAATTCAAAGAATACGCAGCCCGGCGATGGCTACAACGGAAATTATTTTCGTTATTATCAAGAGTAATATTTGAAGACTATGTAAATTATTCGAGTTGGGCATTTTTAACATTTTTTTTTTGTCATTTAGCTGTCATACCTCGGGCACGCAGCGGCATACTTAACACTTTTAAACGATATTTTTATCCAAATGACATTCGTTCGTACTTTTATAATTGTTCTCGTTAAAAAATCTTATTAAACAGATGTTCAATTGGAAAGAAACAAGTTTTGTGCAAACTCATAATACCTATTAAGTTAAATACTTTTCGTTTAAATGATATTAAATTAATCGTTATAATTTTCCCAGTCAAACAAGCTAACAAATTTTAATAGCAAAATATATTATGTTAAACAATAATGTCTGACTACTAACGCATTGTTTAATACCTTAAAAGTAATGATTAATTAATTCATAATAACAGATTTATAATGCCATTGCAATATTGAATAAAAACAATATCAAACGGTAGTATTTCATATTACTCAAACAATACCTACTGGCACCAAATGGCTATTATACTTCGTGAAGCAATATATTTAAGGCAGTCGTTTGAATCGATTGGAACATATTTCATGATATAATCACTTGCATTATATCACTAATTTATTCCAAATCTCTCGACACACTATTTTTGCTATTTTGTAATTTTTATTATTGATTTAAAGCAAGAAGAACAAAATTGAAATAAAATAAAATCGTCGAATATTCAATAAATTAAATAGCATCGATGGCGGCATGTTCAGACTTACTCTATATATTATTAAATTAACCTATAATAATAAAATTATTTCCAATTTTCACTATACAGTTTACGAAAGTCTGGATATTAATAACGATGAACAATAATAATGTGGTTTATAATTTATACAAATCAATTGATAATATTGTAATAACATAAACAATAACTTTAAATAAGTTACTTAAGCATAAAATCCAATAATATCTTCATCGCTCCACTATCAGATATTAATCACCAATATCCATCGGTATAGTTATTCAATAGAAAATATTTTTGCGATTAGAGTGATTACTTACGTTCAAAATAATTCTGTGTAAATAGCAATAAGGTAGAACATGTGCAATTTATTCAACTCACTGAGAATAATATTATTAAATTGATGAGTCAATATATTTTTTTTATATCATTCGAATATTAAAAGTATAATAAAATCGGATATACAACGAATTCGTGGATTTAAACTTTTTATTCCTTCAATTGCAACTCATTGCTTTCTTGACATAAGGTTTTCAATTCGATTTTATTTATCAGAGATAGATAATTATTATGCTTGATTAAGTTCAGTTTTCGTTCAGTCGTAGTACAATAAAAAGTTATTAGCTATGTATGGAATTATGTATAAACTCAATCATAACATACAATGTCAAAGATTTGACATAATATTATTATCAAATGCTGAGGTTATTCCATTTCGACTGGGGAAATACCAATTTGTGTTTTGATACAAACAAAAACGAAAAAAAAAACAAATTAAAATATGATTCCGTAGTACATAATTTAATATAGTTGAACAATTATTGTTTTAGGTCGGTACTATACAATATATAAACAACTGCCAATATGAAAATATATACCTGTATTATTTTTGTACATTATTCCGGCCAGAGTTACGGTAAGGACAAATAAACAATCCATTGACCTTCTTGTCCATCGCGACATTGTTGCACGAGAATATAAAATCAATAGTGGTTTACTGCGATCATTGTAAAAGCTTAAGTAATTGTGTCAACTGTCGCAGTGGAACATTGTTAATGAAAACTAAATCGCATTTTTTAGTTAATTGAATGAGATGTTTATTTAGTTTTGTACGAATACTTTATATTTACGCATTTAAAAATTAGATCAATTAATGAATGCGATTTAATCGATGACCTAAAGTAAACCGGCGTATATCATAACATTTATTGTACATTATTTCAGCAAGAGTTAAAAAATCTGAAGAAATTTTAAGAAAATACCGTGTTTTTGAGGTCACGATTCGAATATTTKTTTGAAGTTTTACTTATCTCTCGTTTTACATAATGCATAGGATTAGCAGATTTCAAGCTTTCTAACTTTCTTATGAAAAAAAGCGATTTTATACCACAAAAAGTGCTGAGTTAATCAAAAAATGATTTATCATGATAATAAGGTTACGAAATYGTGTAAATATACATTGAAAATAATGAGCAATTAAAAAATCCATCATCCAGTTTCAGTAATGTAAATTAAAATTAACTAAACAAAATTTAAAATTTCTGAATTMGGATAGTTTATTCTCGCGGGTATATCGTTTTAATTATTATTATAGTGTAGATATATACACCGTCTTGGAGTCTTGCAACAAATACTTTAAAAATTATATTTAAACACAGATACCGACAAGTGCGTTAATTCAKTAAGAATTTAAAGTACATTTCAAATACTTTTTAGTTTTTAAATTGTACTTGTTTTATCGTACAAATATGTAAGAAAATAAATTTTGCAATGGGATGTCGAATTTAACTATCATCTGCAGAACATTATAATGTATACTACCTACTCCATTTTATAGCGAGAAAAGAAAATTAATAAAAATGTGGTACATTTTAATATAAAAATACTTAAGTATTTTAAATAAACAGTAAATAGTCATTAATTTAATATAAAATAATTAATATTCAATTAAGTGTAAAATAATTATAAAAAAATATGCGATGAATAACTTTTTTGAATTTTGAAAATTATTCATACAAAAGYATTTGATTTTGAAATRCAAATAATACGTCTTACATAGTGGGTATTTAAAATACTTTTCAAATACTAAATTTTAAAAGTATTTAATAAGTATTYCAATWTCTAATCATACTTTTACTCAAATRTTTTACAAGACTTTATCACATTCKTATTATACCTTATAATAATATTATGAGTAGTTGRTATCATACTATCATCTTCATTTATAATGAATAAGAAGTCACCGAAGTTTACGTTAGTGCCAAAACGTTCTTCGTCGGCAAATCACTAAAACGAAMTAATGACATAGCKWCCTACGTTTATCTGTACGAGTATAGTCCGTTAGCGCCATTATGCACAAATTTACGGTCAAAATCATTTATAATGTACGTTCATTGTGTGTATAGAAACATCATCAGCYTTGTATTTCTAGAAAATATATTTTGCCAGATCTAAATTTTTTGAGTGAAAAAAAAAATGATCACGGATACACAATAATGCTCACTGAGATAATAGTCGGTGTCTAAGACATAGGCATAATTTGAAAGTGAAAAGATGGGCCAAGCACTTTTTACAGTAGAAATACACCGTTTTCTCTCTGCCATCATCCTTTTTTTATTAATACTACAACGCATAATTATTTTTTTTTTTTTAACATCGTCATGCTTAAGCTCGAATATAATATTTTTAAGATTTTACGCGTGATTACTAATAATTTATAGGTACACTTAAGGACGTACACTCAAAGTTTTTCTGATTATAAAATATCACAGAAAGTGCARTATAAATTTTCGCTAATTTAACAA